CTCTGTCACCAGTGGTTTGTTTCAGTTTACTTATTTGATTGGTGTGAAAAATTCCTTGTAGTCTCCCTGCTTCTAAGACCTTGCCTTCTTCCAATCCAGGCACCTGTCTAGGGTCTGAGAATTTTTTTTTTTTTTTTTGGCAGTCGTGGGGCCTGAACTCTGGGCTTGGGTACTGTCCTTGTGCTATTCAGCTCAAGGTGAGCGTTCTATCGCTTGAGCCACAGCGCCACTTCCGATTTTCTAGTGGTTTGTTGGAGATAAGAGTTTCATGGACTTTCCTACCCGGTCTGGCTTTGAACCGTGATCCTCAGATCTCAGCCTCCTGAGTAGCTAGGATTACAAGTGTGAGCTACCAGCACTTGGCCCTTGAGACTCTTATCTCTAATTAACCACCACCAACAGCTGGAAGTAGAACTGTGTCTCAAGTGGTAGAACACCAGCTTTGAGCAAAAGAGCTCAAGGATAGTGCCCAGGCTCTCGGTTTAAGCCCCTGAACAGCATAAACAGACAGACACACAAAATAGACTCACCTGCTATCTCTGTACGTGTGTGTGTGTGTGTGTGTGTGTGTGTGTGTGTGTGTATATGTATGTATAAAATAAAGTATGGTGGCCAGGTGTTGGTGGCTCACGCCTGTCATCCTAGCTATTCAGGAGGCTGAGATCTGAGGATCATGGTTGAAAGCCAGCCCAGGCAGGAAAGGCCAGGAGACTTTTGTCTCCAATGAACCACCAGAAAACTGGGAGTGGTGCTATGGCTCAAAGTGGTAGAGCCCTAGCCTTGAGCCCAAAAACAGGGACAGCGCTCAGGCCTGAGTTCAAGCTCCAGGACCACCACTAACATAACAAAAAGAAGGCACTGTGCATGTTTCTGAATCCAATAATAATAATTTGAGTCCTTTGTATTAATTCAGCTAATCATTACAACCTAATGAAGACAATCATTGGGTTGTAGTCTTTTTTTGGTGTGTGGTTGGTTGTGGGATTTGAACTCAGGGCCTGGGCGCTGTCCCTGAGCTTTATCTGCTCAAGACTGGCACTCTACCATTTTGAGCCATAGCTCCTCTTCTGGTTTTTGGGTTATTTGGGGGAGGGGCTTCAAACTGGGATTCTCAGATCTCTACCTCCTGAACAGCTAAGATGACAAGTATGAAGCACAGACACCTGGCTCTGTTTTTTGTTTTTTTTGTCTTTTATTTTTTACTTCCGGGGATGGGACTTAGGGTGTTGCACTTGCAAGGCAAGTGCTTTGCTACTGAGCTGTATCCCATCCAGAGAATATTTACTTTTATACACCATCCTTCTGACTGACCCAGTCCACATGCCACTACCACATATATTCACTTAGGAAAACAACAAAGGCTCACAGTTCACACATGCAACTTGCTATGGTTTATAAAAAAAAATGTATCCACAGAGCCAACAACAAAAAAAAGTATCCACATGAACTTTATGTAAACAAATATATCAATCAATGACTATGCCATAATCCCTGGGGAATATTCCATTTTAATAACATTTAGATCTGTGTAGTGATTTTAGTATTCCACTGCTCTCTCAAAATCTGATTTAAACAAAGGCATTCTGTTCAGTGTTTCAGCATTTGAGTATGTCAAATACACAATCCCCATGTTAGATTATCTTTTCATAAAAGCAAAATGTCAACCAGTTTTTAAGTAGTTCTGAATAAGAGGCCAGGTATTCACAGCCTCCCATCATTACTTTCTGATTACCACTAGGAGGCTATAGGTGGAAACGTGGAAGTGAAAAACCTGTTTTCTGCCACATTGCAAAATAACTGTAAGGAGTGGTGTTTACTTTCTGGAGCTGGAAGAACGACTAAGCTTCTTGTTGTTGATGGTGGCGGTGTCCTCATGCTGGGAATCAAACCCAGGCTACCACTGCGCTACATCCTCAGCCCTCAGACACCTTTTAAATCATGGTATGGTATCCAGCAAAACATACCAAACGAGCCAAAAAACCAAGAGAGAAAGCAAAAGAAGAAAAAGACAAAAGAAAAGCTTTTTCATTCCTGAAAGCTTTGGGGGTGGTGTGGACAGTTCAGTGCTTCCCGTTCTGAGTTTCTTAGGTGACTTCAGGGTTCAGGTGAGGTCCTGTTGCTCTCTTTCACTGCTTTATAACCAATCTGCCTGTATTCTTTCTATACAATCTACTTGGATCACAACATCAATCCTACCTTGCTATGAAGTATTAAAAACTGAAGTATTGTTGGGTCTGTGGGAGGTGAGATGGTCACTTTTCTTTGAGAAGCCCTAGATAGGAAATGGTATAGAGGACGTGGACATTCAGAACCTCCTTCTCCTTCTCTTCCTTCAAGTTTTCATGGAGACCTAGAAAAATTAACAGGTAGGAATACCAAGATTTGATTTAACATGGGCAAGACCCAACATTCTTCGGGCAATAAATGTCTATTGGTTAACAGCTTTATGCTTCTAAGTGTTCTCAGCATTGTCAAAAGCTTGGAAGATACAAAGATGGCTCAAGTTGAAGGCAGTAGTCTTAAAGTACATGGATTATGGATTAGGTAAGGCCAGT